TATTCTATTCTATTCTATTCTATTCTATTCTATTCTATTCTATTCTACTCTACTCTACTCTACTCTACTCTACTCTACCTCTACTCAATTCTATTTCATTCTATTCTAGTACAGCACATTCAGATCATCTGCTAGTTGCCCATTCTCTTCCACAAGGGAGGGAGGAATCCTATGTCCAAAGATATTCTTCAAGTTTTTCCATACATTTGCTGGTTCATTTGCTGAGAACAGATTTCATTCATCTGCTGAGAACGGATTTCATTCATAACAAGCACAGCCCCAGACTTCAACTGTTACTTCATAAAAGCAGAGGTTATAGGCAATGGCAATCAGAGTGAATATGTGTGGTGTCACATGCATATTTGAGCAAAGTACACACAAACAAGTTTGCCTGAAAATGATTCTAACTCTAAAACATTAAGCAATAGCTGGTCAGGTTGTGATCCAAAATCCAAGGAATTCGTAGGAAGTTTGTCAGCTGATCTGAGGTCAGAGTAACAGAATTTCAGGATCCAAGAGTTCTGAGGCATGACTACATAGGTTTTAAGTTAGAGTGATTGTCCCAAGAGAGATGTATCATAGGCCAGGGGTCACGGACCTTTCAGACCTCAGGGACCATTAAATTCATAATTTTAAATCCTACGGACCACTAATACGATCTGCCTAATGACCAGCTGGGTGGGCGTGGCTAGGGGTTGATGTGACTGGGTGGACATGGCCAACTTAATGTCATTCATGTCGTGGGGCACCTTGCCAGCCTCTATTCACCCCTCCCCTCCCAGCCACTCCTCACCTGCTCGCCCAGGGTTCCTTAGGGCCCCAACAAGAAGCCGTTGTTGGAGCTAAGCCAGCCACCATAAGAAAGAGTTGGCAAAACAGCTTGATAGGTTCAAATTGGATCTGACCGAGAAAGAGGCTGAAGCAGACCCCAAATCGGAATTTCTGCCCCCCCCCAACCTGCACAAAAAGACCCCGAAAGGAAAGACTTTCTGCAGCAACACAAACGTTCATTGCACATATCCTGCCCAGGGGCCATAGTTTGAGCACCTCTGATTTAGTGCAACATAAAAAATGCATATAACGTTTCTGCGGACCACCAAAATTTCATTGCAGACCACCAGTGGTCCTCAGACCATCAGTTGGTGACTGCTGCCATAGGCTTAATATAAGACAGTAAGCCCTGAGTGGGAACTAATTATGATAAATGATGAATGCTACTTATTTTTCTTAAAGGGTGTGACATGCACTGGGATGATCCTCAGAACTGAGATCCTTGTCATTTGATTCCAATTCAGTTACTCCAAATGACTATCAGCAGGGCAGCCTCAATCGAAGTGATTAGTTGCTGATTCTTCCAAGTGTCATCCATACTGTGCATCTCAAACTGATTCCTTTAGCATCAAAATCAAGGTTTTGTGTGACAAAATTTAACCAACTGTTTCATCCAACTATGTCTATGTAACATACAGTATATAAGGCATCATTTTTGTGATCGCAGAGGTGTGATTTCGATTATGCGTGTGTGTATGTATTTTTGTACACAGGCAAATGCCTTGTTCTTGGCTAAGGAACTGAATGATTTGTTGCGAATGTTAGACAGATTGCTTGACGCAATAAGGCATATGGATGCAAAAATTAATGTATTAAGAACTTAGGAAGTTGTGTTTGACAAGGAAAATGTGGTCATGATTACAAGGTGTTTAAACATGATGAAAAATTATTCCAACTATAATCTATATCACTATATGAATCCATCTATCTTGGGAGAATGATTACTAAACATAAGGATAATGGATGGAGAAAAATCAGTGTGGATAATGCAAGTTTCTCAAAGTAAGTTTAAATAATTGTGTGTAGGAGAGTACTGCTGTTCACTTTGTTATCACCTACAAGTGGGTGATGAACTGAATGTAGATTGAATATAAACTAAGTGATCAATATGAAAGAAGAATTTTGTGGTAATTTAGATAATACAGAATCAGAGAATGAATATTAAATCACACTACAAATATGTGAAAGAAGACCGAATGGATCAAGAGGAAAGGGAAGACTAAGAAAGTTGTAACCAGTGAGGAGAGGTTATACTGTAGGAAAAAGAAGTTTAATGAATGAATGATGAATGAATGAATAAAAGTTCTTCAAAAAGTGAGAAGTTTAAAGACAATTTATGAAATGGTTTAAGGATGTGGTGGAAACAAGAAAGATATGAAATGGTTTAATGAATGGTGCTGGGGTACTCTAGGAATGAGTTAAATTTCCTTTTTCTCTTATTTTATGCATTTAATTTATTTTGGTCACTGCTTGTCATTCTGTTTACGATGCATAATTCTGCTTGCTTCAAAAGAAAACATACATTTGTTTGGATAATTGTTTTAAAAAACACAGACACCTAAATGTTAGTTACAAATACTCTCTAGGACGCTCAAAGTAAATATTACATCATAGCATCACTGTAGCACACAAACCAACTAAAGTCCTCCTAAATAATGTAAGTAAACCGAAAGACCCTGCAAATCCTGAAGAAAAAACAGCATTCATGTACAACATACATTATAAGGATTGCAACATTGACTATGTAGAACAAACAGGCAGAATATTGGTAGAGTGCATCCATGCACATCAACTAGGACACGATGAAAACTCTTTAGTTTCATAACTCATCGACAGACTTAACTATAGTTTTAACTTAGAACCTGTCAACATGCTAGAGTCTGTAATATCTCTGCTCTGTAATTTTGTTATTTCATCCAGTGGCAGAATAATTAAGCTGGAGTTGAAAATCCTGATAAACTAATTTAAAGTTGTATTTCAAGACAACTTTTAAGAGGGAATGCTTCATTTAAGCACTCCGCACTCTGTATCAGTTACATATCATTTCTACTATAAGCCTGTGGTGCATGAATTTTACTCACTAAGGCAAATTTTTTGTTGAGAATCATTTGCTCCACGAGTGAAGATTCATTATGGAACAGATGAGGTTGCATGTGACTCCACATATGAGGAAACCACCAGAATTCTTCTACCGACCCGAGTAACAAATCATCTCCTTCGTCTTCTTCTATAGTGCCTGCAGAAATAATTGATTAAATGATATTCCCATTTTTTGAAATAACTTATTCACAATCATTAGACGCATGGTGAACATTTACGTTGCAACAAATTACAGCAGGAAAATGAAACCAATTTCAAATTCATAGCAACAATTCATAAGCAATCAAGTATCTAAGACAGAATGCAACAGATTTGATCATGTTACCTAAGGCACAGTTTAAAGCAGGGGTCTTCAAACTTGACAGCTTTAAGACTTGTGGACTTCAGCTCCCAGAATTCTTCCTCCATTCATGTTAGCTCAGGAATTCTAGGAGTTGAAGTCCACAAGTCTTAAACTTGCCAAGTTTGAAGGCCCTTGGTTTAAAGTAACACTGAGTCACCTGCATATACATCAGGTTTGCACTGTATTTTGCAGTCCGATCTTGATTGGGGCAAGCATGATTTGAAAATAAGCCAAATTAATAACAGAACGCCAGTATATTTTGAGCTGAAACACAAGCAGTTCCACTGACCTACATTAGAGTCAAACTGTGTGTTCAATGAATAAGACATTAAATAATATATCAAATAACATTTAGTGGAAGATATTTCACATTTATGCTGATTATCATATTATATTACTATAATTGTATTTTTTAATTTAGTAACAGATGTTTTGAACATATCCTGGTCTATGATTGTAACAGACATTCCTATGACTGGCTTCCTACTAGGTATCTTTCCTAGAATTACTACACAGAAGTAGTAAGAATTAGGGCAGAACCATAAGCCACTGAATGATAAATGTACAATTTAAAAAGAAGGTTACAATAAAACAAAGGCTATAGTTGATTTAAATATGAACATTTAATATTTGCATATTAAAGCAATAGATGTTCTTATGTAATCACTGAAAGATATAATTTACAAGCATCTCTATGGTGTGTCACACCCGAGTGTCTACAGTATAACATATTGGTTGTATCCTGTACCTCATAGATATTTGTTAGATTGTTTTATAAATGTGTTTTGACTTTGCTTTAAATTTTATTTTGTTTATCATCTAAGATAGTGTGTGTGCATGTGTGTGTATATATGTGTGTGTGTGTGTGCGTGTATGTATGTGTATGGGTGTATCTATGTATATATATATATATATGTGTGTGTGTGTGTGTGTGTGTGTGTATGTATGTATGTATGTATATGTGTGAATATATATGTATATACGTCCTGGTCTACAACTTCAATAAACTGAAATGAACTGTGAAGAGTAATTATAATTACAACTGAAAGTGTTTTTTGCTGAAACAAATTGTTCCACTAATTTTACATGTCCATCTCCTGGGTAAACTTGATATAACTTATGATTACATTTAAAATATTAGATTCTTACTACAAATCTATTTTACTTCTCTTGAGGTCTACAGCTTGCTAAAATTCTTATTCAACAGTGCTTGTTATGTATGTTAAGAATATACTGATTATATATACGGTAATTCCACAAGGTTTTTATATAAATAAAACCAAGTTTACTACTGTCACAGTATAATGGGCAAAATATAAAGTTTTATATTTTTAATATAAAACTCTGACTTTAGCCTTGCTAAGTATTAATATGAATATACACATCAATGACTACATAGAGGTATACATTTTTTTATGAATACTTTCGTTCAAGAAACTTTTTTTAAAAACTAGCATCCCTTTTTACAAACTTAATACAATGCTTCCAGTCAAAAAGAGATATTGGAGTGCCTGTAAAAAACAGCTTCTGAAAAGGCCATTTATTTTCAAGAGGTGGATAGGCTAAGTTTAACTTGAGGTATAGTAGCTAATTTACAAGTTGAAATGAGTAAATCACAATGTGCCTCAGCTATAAATAATTGTTGTATTCTTAAACCTTAATGGCTGACTGTCCTATTCATTAATTACTAATTATAGGACTGAAAGCTTGTGCTGAAATCATATGTACTGATTTTCTACAGCTTTCAGCACACATTATTTTACATATCTTTAAATACTATCTATTCCCAGTCTCTTCATTGGTTGTTTAGAAAGGAAATGGCAATTCAGGTGGGCAAACTTATATATCTGCCTGCCTGGGATCATTACGTTTCAGCAGTTCATTAAAACCAATGACTCAATCACAGAACAATATGGCTACTTCAGGGATGAGGCAACTTAAAGAGATACGTTCAGAGATAATTGTGTAGATGTACAATTTCAGAAGTCGCTAAGAGGCTGAAATATTATGTGTGTTCTAAATATGATGTAAATTAATTAAGTCCTTTATGAACTTCATCATAAGCACTGTAAATTATTGCTGTGATGACACCACAATCACAATGACTTTTTTGCATGGTATAATCTTGATAGGTGAATGTGGAACTAATATGGACAGCAGTAGATGAGCAAAACATACTTGGTGGAATAACAAAGGTTGAAAAACTTCTTTCAGTTGCCAGCAGGACTGCACTGGAAAAATTATGTGTTAGTATTACTACTTCTCAGACATCGTGAAGCTGAAGCTCAAATACTTTGGCCACCTAATGAGAAGATAGGACTCCTTGGAGAAGACCCTGATGTTGGGGAAGTTGGAAGGCAAAAGGAGAAAGGGATGGCAGAGGATGAGATAGTTAGATAGTGTCATCATTGCAGTAAATATGAATTTAGGCAAACTCTGGAAACATGGGGAAGAGACAGGGGGAGGACAGGAGATGTGTGAAGTATTGGCCACAACTGAGCAACTGAACAGCAACACTTTTATTATATATAATAGCGATTGACAATGATGTTATTCATATATATTATTTGGATTCCAGAATAAAACACCTCATCATTGTACTGTTTCATCAATTCTTGGTATAGCCTGTGTTTTTATTGAACAAAGTTTTAGGAAACCAGGGAATAGAATTTCTACAACATCTTCTAAGTGTACATATCGGGTCAATTTTTCAATATAAGAAAGTTTATCCCAGCTTCATACCCTTCAGATATGTTAGGTTAATTCCTCAAAATATTTTTCAGCATGCTGATATGTATTGGTAAGTCTGCACATCTGCAGGGTATCAGGTTATTAAATCAGGTTATTAAAACCTGAATTAGAAATCCCAATTGTAGACTGTGTTTCTTTTTTGCCCCGAAAACAATTGTTTAAGAGAAACCTTTCCAATTTATTTCTCTACTATTTTCTAGCATACTAACTACACTATTATTATCCACACAAACTGCTTAAACATGGTCCAGAAGACACCGTCGTATTATGGCTATACTGTCAGAAAGTTAAAATTATGATATTCCTATGGATAATACAAACAGTCCCACAGCTAAGTACAACATTGTACATAAGGAAGAGTTTGTTAATTTTTTTGGTTTTATTCTGCTGAAGGAATTTTTCATTTTTTTTTCATGCTCCCAGAAGTTCTTTCTCTCATTTTGTTTAACAGAATAAAGTAAAACCACCCCAAACAAATGCCAATTATCTGCAGTGCACAAATGGAGAATCATTTTACAGTGTTTTTTTTTTTTACCTGTGTGGTAAAATTTTCCTGAAAATCCCAGATTGAAAGTAAAATTTGTAATTTGAGCTCTCAAAAGGTTCTGAGTATCAAGCAGAGCCTGAAATAAAATAAGAGATTAAAATGCATTAGATACATATTAAATGCAGGTCATCCTTTTTTTAGGGCTGTGTAATAGAAGCAAACTGCTTCACCTTCAAAGCATCTTCCAAAAAACTTCCTAACCTCCACATCTGATTAAACACTAACAATTCAGATATGTTATTTTTATTTAGTTTGATTTTTCTTGTAGACTACCATTATCAACAGACATTAGTGACGTATTTTAAAAAATGAAATTGGATCTCTGATGACATTTCTTTCCGAGGAACACTCTAAAGAGTTTTAGTCAAAATTAAGTAGCAATGAAGAAATTGGAGATTGGTAGACAAAAGATACCAAGTTCTATTTAGACAGAAAGACATGGATCATATATAAATTGTGACAATCAAACCCTATAATTTTTTAAAAGTGATCCAATACTTTCAGATATTACAAATAAAATGCTGGCCTTAGTTGAATTTTATTTTTCCAACTACAAATAAAAGTTTGTGTGTTAAGAACAAGGCCGAGTGTAAAGCGATATGAAATTGAAGAAGAAGAAAAAAATGCAGCCTGCTTGTATTCTTGGAATGGCGTTTCAAGACACTCTTTGAATGTCTCACCTGATAAATAAGAAGCAACAAAATTAGCCTCTGCTTGCAATGGCTTCTCTAGGATTTGTCTAATAACTTTAGGAAAAGTCTGATAACCTTGGGAACTGGGGTCAAATGAATGAAAACCAGAAAGTCATCTTCAGCTAAAGTTCTTTATTAAACACAGTGAAACAACCAGCAACCGTCTGGCTGACAGCGATCCTTTTATAGAGAGCTGTCAGCCGGGCGACCAATCATTTTAAACCATTTTTCCCACCTGAATGGCGGACTTGAGTGAAGACTTCAGTTCTTGAGTTACTAATTTGAATACGTAACAGGTACATTTCTGCTTTGAATAAAGCAGCAGAGACAAACTCCACAACACTCAATCGGTTATTAAAATGCATAGACCTATGCTGATGGTATAGCATTTTCCCATTCTCTGTGCTGGGAAATCACATGGGCTGCATATACCATCTTATGCCTATACGCCCTATAACCCTTCTAGCTCAGGGGTCTCCAACCTTGGCAACTTTAAGCCTGGCGGACTTCAACTCCCAGAATTCCTTTGCTGGCTGGAGAATTCTGGGAGTTGAAGTCCACCAGGCTTAAAGTTGCCAAGGTTGGAAGACCCCTGATCTAGCTAATATCCATGGCTGAACCAGAAATATAAAGTTGAAGTTTATTATTGCCCCTGAAGACTAACTATATAGATACTTGATGCTAAACCTCTAGTTACCGATTAGTATTTGATTGACTTATAACTTGAACTCCTAATGAAGTACAATTAGAAAGCTATTAATTTTCACAAAAATTAGAAAGCTAATATTTTTTTACAACAAGCAAGTGTCTGGTGCTGATATCAAATTTAATTTTCTCTTATAATTAATAACTTTGCCAAATAGTTGAGATTTTTTTTAAAAAATAAAGAAAACTTTCAGTTTACTATACATGATTTTAAAGCTGTGAAAAACTTAACCAATCGATTCTTAATCTGTACAATGAAGTAGAAAGCAGTAGAAAGTAGTTACAATATCTTCAAAATAGGGGATACTGGTCCTTTAAAAACTGTGTTCTCAATAGACGAGCTTAGTTAACATTTTGGTTGTTATGTCTCTGATTATTTTCTGGATAACTTGACATTTTACTTGTCATTTAGGTTCTAAAATCAGAACGTTAAAACTTATGAAAAATATAGAACAGCAGATGGCAGGCATTATTTCACTGTTTTTCTGTGACTGTCTCAGAACAGGAATGCTTTCATGTGGGGGCAGAGAAAGAGAAATTTCATTTCTAAATGCTTTGGAATATTCAACGTAAGTTCTTGAGATACTATATACAGGTAGTCTTCAACTTACAACAATTCATTTAGTGACCATTTGAAGTTACAATGGCACTGAAAAAAGTGTGATGACCCAGGGTGGGATACAAAACAAGCAGAGTCACAGAAAACAGGTGAACCCCCTTTTATTCCTTCACTTTGCTTCCAAGCTCTGGATATCTTTGACGGAAGACAAAAACCTCCCACACGAACAGTTACAAGAAGGAGGAAAAAAGCAAGACAAACCAGGCAAGATAAGGGCTGGAGGATATCTACAGTGGGAAGGATGCCAAACTCAGAGAGGAACTATAAACTAGAGATATTTACACATTTTGTTTCCAGGGTTCACCAGTACGCAGGTCCATACTCTTATTCAGTTGTCACAGCTGCAGCCCATGAAGAGGATCAAGGCCCTCTCCTCCACAGTAGACCACGTCTCTGTCTCTTCCCTTATCCTCTCTTCCCTGCATGCCCTAGGATGGAGAGGGGATGGGCCTGGGTCCTCCTCTGACTGCTCAGCTGACCTCTGCTCTTCCCCAGCCTCCTCCACAACTTCCGGAGCCACACTTCCACTCCCTGTTGGCTGTTCCTCCTCTCCCTCAGAGTCAGTCTCCACTAGGGGCATGACAAAAAAGTGACTTATGACCATTTTTCACACTTACAATTGTTGCAACATCTCCATTTTTTGTATAATAGTTAAAGCCCCAAGCTAAAAACCGAGAGACCTTGAATTCTAAATCTGCGTTAGGCACAAAGTTAACTGAGTGATCTCAGGCCAGTTGCTTCCTCTCAGCCCTAGGAAGGAGGCAATAGCAGACCACTTTCCAAAAAAGTTTGCCAAGAAAGCTGCAGAGAGTTTTCCAGGCAAACACCAGGATGAAACCCTGGTTTGAAGGTATGTGTGTGCAAAAGCATACATACGCACACAGAGAGATAATGGACTTAATTCAATTTGATTTGGATAGCACTTGACTTCCATTGATTCTGGGGTGTTCACAAATAATAACATTAAAAAGCATTACAAACCAAAAACAAGATAACATTTGGGCACGATATACAAACAGGAAACAATAATAGCACATACAACCAAGGGACTCTATACATCTCATCCCAAACCTGGGAGAACAACTTCAAGGCTCTATAGAACAGGGGTCTCCAACCTTGGCAACTTTAAGACTTGTGGACTTCAACTCCCAGAATTCCTCCTCCAGTCACGTTAGCTCAGGAATTCTGGGATTTGAAGTCCACGAGTCTTAAAGCTAAAGACTCCTGCTATAGAACATCAACGGGTGGAATCCGTACGGATTTTGTGGGACCAGGTGCCATTACAGAGAAAGCTTGCTTCCTAGTTGGATTCTAAAGATGACTAGTTGACATTGTTTAATTGAAAGGACCAGGAATATGCCAACTCTGCTGGCTTGTGTTTGTCCGATAAAAATGAGGGCAGACATGATTCCCTCAAGTAATCTGGCCCAACATGAATCTTGAATTGCAGCTGGAAGCACTCACTGGCCACCAATGCAATTCACAGAGCCTGCACACAATGCATTTTGGACAAGTTCTCAGTGAATTTCAAGGACAGTAACACATTGCTATAATCAATTCTTGAGGTGTGACCATCCTCCCATTTCAGGAAAGGGTTCAACTGGCTGACCAGATGGAGCTGTGAGTCCAAAAGGACCCCCAGATTGTGCCTCAAGTCTTGAGTGGGGAAAATTATGAAGAGAAAGTCCTTGAATCCGGTGGTGGGTGAATGGGGCTAATATCTATTAGTACTCAGTCTAGATGAGATTTAGTCAAAGTCGGTTCTTACTTACCCAGATTCACTAAAAGGAAATAAAGGATTTAAACTGAAGAATGAGGATATACCTAAGTTGTTTGCAAATAATACTGTAAGCTTTCCTTTTTGGCATTCCCGCTGAATATGCTATAGTTGGGTTTGATTACTGAATTATTTGTCCCTATATCTTGATAGCATACTGGATTATTTGCCCCTTGATACTGGATTATTTGTCCCTATATCTTTTAATACGCCTGATTCATTTATACAATTAAAAAAAAATCTAAATTCTTTAAAGAAGCAGTCAAAGGAAAGGAAACCAATTATGGCAATGTAGGCCAGTTATTGCTAACCAATGTTATTGAATAAAGCAATGCAATTAACAATCCTGTCTTTGAGATTTTATCTGCTTTGCCGTTATCAGTTCTTGGGTTCTGCTCACTACCTAAGATGATTTAATTATCCTGTTGCTAAAACTGATTAAATTCCTTAATTAAAGGTTACAAAAATTCTCAGGCCAATTAAACAAGAACTAATGAGCACCCTGTTGTACTGCATTCTTTTCCAACTCTGATATAGTTTGATGATGTTAGATTTAAGCTGAAGAGAAGACAATATTTAATCTATTTCATAAATAAAAACACAGCTCTCCAATTTGAAAATGCACACAGGTTGCAACGTTTCCATTAGATATTTCACAATATTTAAATTGAGCTACCTATCTGAGTAACTTGAGAAAAGAGGCAAACCTCTGGCAGATCACAATATATGTGGAAAGCTGAATTTGTTTTCGTGACCCAAGCCCAGTCTTCCTAAAACAATTCATTTTAGTGAAGCCCTTTGTCTCTCACAGCCAACCAAATATTTTTGAACTGCCCACAAGCAGGAATATGGAGACGTATTCCTTTCTGGTGTTGTGGTTCACTGGCAGCCTGTGCAGACGGCAGTGGAATCGGACAGTGGGGAAGAACAGGGACCAGTCCGGGAGTGTGGGGAGGACTCGGACGAGGGTCCTGTGTCCGATACAGAGATGGGGACAGGACCATCTGGGAGTGGGGTGCTGACTCCGGAGCATCTAGAGTCTGGCAGCAGCGAGGCAGAGGAACAAGGGGAGCCAGTTCCCAGTGCGCATGTGCGCAAAGCTGCTAGAAGGCGAGAGCAGCTGAAACAAAAGGGTTCACTCGGGAGTAAGGCTGGGGGGTGATTGCCCCTCCCATAAGATATAAAGAAACTGCAAAGGGACCGGAAACTTTGTAGGAAGCAAAGTCGTTCGCTCTGTTCGGATTAAATCTTGAAGCTCTGTAAGGACATTGTATTTCCGTTGG